GGCAGGGTTTTGGAAAATAGACGAAGGGATTAATGCTAACTCAGCAACATGCAGAAAAGAGTTGTCGGCCTTAAGGGCATCGACAGTTTTAATGAGATCCGCAAGTTGGGATTCAATCTGCATTCGGCGCTGAAGTTTAATCGACTCAATTGGAGCGACTAAAGGGAGGCGCTTAGTCATATCTGTTGGAGAGGCAGCCCCTTCGTCGGGGCTGACCTCACTGGAGGTGTCATCGTCTCCATTCTCCGTTGTTAAATAAGAATAAGTTAAAGAATACAATTAGATGTATAAAAGAATAAGAAAAATATGTTTAATAAGAAATAATAAAATAACAAAGAATCAAAAAGTAAGAATAATAATAATAAAATAATAAATAAAAATATGATGAAACAAAAATTTGAAGAAAAAATAAATGAAAATTAATTAGAAAGAAAATAAGGCTGAAATTAAATTAAAAAACGGAATAAGATAAACAAAACAAACAAATAAATTAATATGATTATAAATAGAAATGAAATGAAATATAAAAAATATTGCAACAAACCCTCACCAATATAATAAGTCTATGAACACTTATTGTGCAAGTCAAGGTGCTTCTTCTTCAAATGGTTTTTGGATGAAAATCAAGAAGAACAAGATTCTCAACATTTTTTTGAGTTTTAAAAACTTAAAATTTTATTATTAGAGCAAATAGTCTGAAACTAGAACGAAATTAAAAACTATTTCCGAAAATGCTTCTTCCCTAAACGATTGTTAAAGAAAATCAAAAGGAAGAAGATTCTCATGTTCTTTGAACTCCTGTTGCTGAGCAGGCTGCTTGCGGAAAAACACTTAACAGTAAGACGAAAAATAAATAATTCTCCCAAATGCTTCTACTTGAAATGATTTTTGGAGAAAGTCAATGAAAAGAAGACCTCCGAGTTCTCAGAATTAGTATAAAGTTTCATCTTTTTAATGCCATCTAGCGTAACCCGATCGGACTAATGCACGTCGGGATACAGATAACTATGGCCATCTATTGGGAAAACAATGGATTTCTTTTTACTATGTCTAAATCAATTACCTGTCAACTTATGCCACGAAAAACTACATGAGCTATAAAAAGATAGACACACATTCGTGCCTTTAGGATTACGAAATTCAGATACTCGTGTATATTTCAGTTTACTCGGAACCTAATTTCATTACGAATATGGTAAAATGTAACACATAGAGTGCGTTGTTTACAATTGAATTTTAATTTTTAAATAAAACAGAAATTAAATACGAATAAAATGTTTAAGCCCACTTGTTACAATTTTTATTGGCTTCATTTAGTAAAAGAAAAATACATAACAATCATGAGGAAAAAAAAACGTAACAGCTAAAAAAATAGTTTCAGACTTTATTATACGGTTTTTAGGTGAAATTTTCACACGTATTTTACAGTTACCATGTATTATAACGGATGTGTGTATAGCAATTGTGTATAAGACTTCAAAAATAAGTTGAATAACCCAGAAATAATAATAAAAATAAAATTATTTTTAGTAAATTTGTTTATTAGTTAATCTTTAGATCTTTAGATTTGTGTAATTCGGTTACACTCCAGAAGGAAGTGCGTCTTTATATAAACTACTTATTTACAATATTTACATTTGTTGTTTCAACTGTTCATACGTTCGAACGCAATGTTCCAGGCGATAAAACCATAAAAACAACGCCATCTACAGACCTAAGTTTTTTAATATCTTAACTTACATGACGTCATTCGACAATAACTTCCGAAATTTGCATACATAAGTAATCTGCAATAATTTTTATATTCTTGCAATGCGTCGTTGATACCACTGATTCCGTAGAGCCTACTAAACGAAAAGCACAATCGGGCTATCTCAATAGTGACGTGTTAATGATTAGAATAAGAGTGAACGGTGGCATTTGGAATTGAATGGAATACGGTAACAAGGAGGGGATTGATAATCGTCAACAGTTTTATCTGTTATACTGCTTAACTACAGAGTGTGTTTTCATTATAATATTGTATAGTCGAAAAGGAGTGTTTAATGTGTATAATCGAAAAAGTAATATTGATGCAACTCAATAATTTCTAGAATTTTATTTTAAAAATTGGTAACAGTTACTAATTTTAAGGGTTAAAGCCATCTAGAACCTGCGGCAAAGCTAATGATGTTATTTAAAGGGTGTTCCTGAAGTTCGTCAAAATCCTTTAAAAAAGAAAAACCCTAAAATGTTAAGGCGGCGCCGTGCATATGCCGGACAGAAGCAGAGCAGATGGGAGGCACTTTCTTCATCCTCACTACGAGGATGAGAGGCAGATATGGTTGAAAGAGAGATTTAGTGTCCTAGCATGGTTTCCTAGAATTCAATGACCTGTAAGTAAACCCAGATTGTTTAGGTGTTCTGAGTGGTTTCCTCAAGCACTCCGTCTGGTTAGCTCGTCTGCTTTGCAATTGCCGAAAATATCCCTATGACCAGGAACCCAGATTAGAGAGTTATTGAACTGCGTCGACATCTCATTTAGAGATGTGTAGCAGTTAAAGACTGTTTTAGATGAAAATTGGACTGAACTCAAGGACTTTATAGCAGCTTGACTATCCGATAGTATATATATATATTTATTACAAGTATATTATCTACTTCTACTTCTAAATATTTTCTTTCCAACTGAGTTTTCTATCGAAAACAATACCTAATGGAGCCTACAGTATTAATGATGTAAAAATATTGAAAAATACACCCACAAAAACTGCACTAAAGAAGTAGAAGCGTCTTATACATAACATAGGTACATATATACATATGTATATAAAAAATATTAATAGTTGCGAAATTAATTGCCGGATTACGATACACGTGAGCATGAATCATGAGGAAATTTTTAAACAATAATTAATGATTTTCAATTTGCCCCGAGATTCGGAAGAAAACTAGCGCATTTAATGTGTGCGCAGAACGTTCCTTTGTTCCCACTTCTGTTTGTAATTCAATTGTGATGAGCGAACAGACTAATGTGTACAGTGTACAGAATTTGTATTCGTACTCGGTTCAGTGTGGAGTGATGCGGTCATAATATATATATAAGAAGTTATTCGAAAGACAATGCAAACGGACACAAGGTTAGAAGTGAGAAAATAATAGACATCACAAGTAGCGGGGTGCGGACGTCAGTATTTGGATATAAAAACATGTATATTAAAAACCTACTTAAACAAAAACATAAAAATTAATTCTTAATAAGAAGCAATTGCATGGCAGTGCTGATAGTAAAGAGCACAATGAAAACTGTTGTAAAATACAAGAAATAAATTTTGGATTCGGGTTTATTTATATAATTTGCACAATAATTTTATTTAATATAATTTTAACTTGTTTAACATTTAATAGTTTACAAAAAGAGGTTTTTCGAACAATACTGAACGAACTACAATAACAAAAATTTATTTTATATTATTTTAATTAATTGATTTTTTGACTGACCATACAGCTGTTTTGAGTATTGCCAAATGCCTATTAATAGTAGTCTTGGATATTTGTTTAATATTCTCCCATCATAACTACGATGAGCTCTAATATGAGTTTGTTCTATTATAATAGTTTGGTCATCTTTATTTGGCATGTCAATATGGAAATGTTTGGTAGGTATGAAAAAATTTATTACTGAGTTTGCTTAAGCATGACCTTTATTTTATACAGGTCGTTATGAGTGCAATAAATTGCTGTAACCAATTTCAATGAAATTACGGGTTTCTTCAACATTTTGATGGATTCATGTACTGCGAATTTTATTTTTTGATATTACTAACTGTTGTTTAAACATGTTTAGTCGCTTTTTGGTTTCTTCAATAAAATCGTTATAGCTACTAGGAGCTGAATGTTGAGTGTAGTTGTGGACATCATCGTTGCTGCTACAGATTCATCCATCAGAGTTTGTACTTCAACCCTTTATGAACCGTCTGACACTACGTTAGTGTGTCCTTGCTTGTAAATAATTTTAGGAGCAAATTCTTCTATGAAAGCATGCCGTTTCTAAATTTTGGAGTTTGGGTTTCGATGTGAAATCGCAAACGATAACGATTGATGATCCGTGTAGACATCTAAATTAGCTAGATTAGTTATATAAAAAATTTCTTAGATATTAAAATGTTAAATGACTCCAACTCCATAATCGAATCTAAAAAAACGTCAATATTTTCATTGTAATACAGATTAATCCGATATAAATCCAATTTCAGAAAAGCATGTAATGTATTTTATGTAAATTATAATAGTAAAGTAAGCATTCTCTTTCTTTTCCTACAGTTGCAGATACATATATATTATTGCATTTTTGCTAATAAAAATAATAACTGAGGAGCAACACAGTAGACAAATTTTTAAAATATTAAATTGCAAACAGTCTTTGGATTTAGTTTTCATGATACTATAGAAAGAACTCATTTATATGCATTTTATAATGTATGATTATAACCTGTGATCATTTATCTGCATGGATTACTGCTCTGCAATGTGTGTTCACATTGTACAATATTTCACTAAATACAGTAATACGTATAAATACTATTTAAAGCTATGTTATTCAAGATATGGCAATCACTTCATTGGGTTATATATATACATAGTTTTATATGCTTTTTATATATAGGAAGGATGTGTTTTACAAACTATTTTTCATTCTATTTTGCAAAATAGGTTAACAGGTCAGGTCAACATTTCCTGTTGCAAATTATCAAATTACTATAACAAATTTCGATACAAATGTTTAATTTTACTTAATCATAGATTAGTGCTGTTATTATGATAATCCTAGAGATCCTAGAATCCCCTTCTCATATTAATTCTCATATCAAAAATGGTTTTATTTCAATCAATATTTCAAGAATTTAAACACATTCGTATTTTCAATAAATATATTTATTTTTTTAATAAATATATTTATTTTTTGTGTATATATGTCCGTCATTCTATAGTTTGATTTATATGAGAAAATTATTGTTTTGAGAAAAATTGCATAAGGGTCTCCATAGAATTAAACAGACGTATGTCTGTTCCAAAGATCAAGTTAAGTTACTAAAAGAAAATAACTTCACTAACAGTAATATTTATATGTACCACGTATCATTACTTAAGGTTCTTCCGAACTATTGGTTCCTTTTGGTTTAATTTTGCCCTATGCTGTTATTAATTCTACTCCGTCACAGAAACAGTATTAAATAAAGAGTAAGACTATATCAAAGAGTAAAATTATATCATATTATTTATATATAGAACTCTTTGATACAATTTTGCCCTGATTTGTTTATAATTTTTCTCCGGAACCTTTTGGTTTTTTGGTGTTTGTCGATGTCAGATTATTTTCAATAGTACGCTGGAACTTCTTGGTTGTTGATATTGGCTTCATGATGTTGATATTGGCTTCATAATGTCACTTTTTGAGTTTAAAATAGTAAAAATGAAATATATATAGTTTTAAATAATTTTTCTATTGCCTACTTGATATTAAGCGTCCGTTTATTTTTTTTTTTGCTTTGTTAATTTTAAAAACAGGGCATTGTCTTAGGAGAATCCAGCAAATTTTGCGGGGAAGCATGTTCATATCAAAAACTAAAGTATTTGCAAATTTTATGTCAAGTTAAAGTTAAAGTAATTAAATGGTGATGGTATTACCGATAGTTATCCTTTTTTGAAGTATAGTAGAAAACAGTAAAAACCATGAAACGCATTGCTAAAATACAAAGCAAAACAGAAAATTAGAAACACATTTTGTTTTGAATTTTGTAAAAACTCAATGTAGATTTCAACATAATACCAAAAATACCAGAATCAGAATTACAAAAACGTCGTACTGCTCTTGTCAAAGTCAAGAAAATTCATTAAACCCATTATTTTAAGATCTTGAAGTACTTGATCAAAAGCCACGCTTAGAATTTTGTTTACCTTTAAGTAATACGAATTACAAATAATATATTGTTAGAATTTCATAAGTATATTTAAAATATTAACTTACCTAAGTCACACAAGGACAATTCGATATTATCCGTTACGTCATACAACATGAACTATACGAATAAAAAATGCCTTACGATCCGCCAGCAGATATAAAAACGGTAACTTTAAACAATTTTACTTTTCCTTAACCCTTCTTCCTAATACTTTCACATAATACCATCTGAAAATAAATGAAAGATATTCGATGCTAAATCAAAAAAAAAAATATTTTTGTCACATAAATATTTCAATAAATTTTACTTTAAAATTTTTTTTAAATAAATTTATTGCAGCTACTTACGTGTTCAATTCTAGTATGTTCTTAAAATTCTAGATATCTTGTTGTTACCGCTCAGTCTTGCCAATAGTCTTCTTATCATCAGTCATCTTGCTGGGCTTTCAACATTTCTTCTGTTAGCCTCTCTTCCTGCCATTTGCTAAGTATTTCGTAATAGGATGGATGTTCTTCTTTTGACCGAATGTAAAGATTTATAAGAAATTGCTATATAAAAAATTTTTAAATTTTGGATTTATTTAACAAAAAACAAAAAATGTAAATTAAAAAAAGAACTAACTTTTTGCATTTCTAACGCATGGTTCTTTGATATGCGATTCATCCATTTTATCGTGTTATCTTCGTAGTCCGCCAAAACATTCTTCATTTGATAATAATGATCAGCGGAATCGCTGAAAGTTCGTACAGCAATATCTGAAACTCGTAACAGATTTTGCTCAAACATAATACCCCTAGGTAAAGCTTTAGAAATTAATTTGCTCAACATTGTGAATATTAAGTTTTAAGCAAACGATTTACCAAAAGGAAAATCCGAAGAATAAAATTTTAAATTTTGAATTTAGACGGACATGAAACCAAAATTTTGAAACAACTTTTGTATGACAATATTTTTTTATATTTCATATTTATAATTAGATATTTTTTATATTTCAGATTTCAAAAATTAAACTGACTTACTAGATTGCTGACTTACTAGAATTAATTTTATTATATTCTGTTTTATTTATGCTATAAATCTAAATATATATATATAAATTACAATTGTTGAGTTTATGATACACTATCTCTATATAAAAGACCTCAACATAGCTTAATGTTTAATAGCAGAGTTATTGCTTAGAGTGGTCACCACACAAAAAATAAAACCCTATTTTCTTTTAATTCGATAAATTGATATGCATGGTATGACTAAGTAATCTCCACATAAAGGTACGGAACATAACCCATAACATTTTAATTTAGAGCTTCCACCATACAAAAAAATGACAAATCAAATTTTTTCAAAGTTGGTACATCGAGTATCGAATCCACTAAAGAATGCGTCAGGTGATACATAAATCTACGCGATCAATTATATAACTCAAGTACGAAATGTAGGCGTGGCAGTTACTTAAAAATTCGTTGACAGTATTTTAAATGCCTATGAAATGGTAAAATATTCGATTCAATTGAACTCTATAGAACTCTATAGATATCACATCCTTTTATCCAACATTCATTTATCTAAAATTTGCAACTACAACTGTTTCTCCAATTACTGTCACCCAATGCTCATTAAAAACATTTTCCAATCGTAAATACTTATAGCACGTGTCAAATAATTTAGAAAAAAAATGTTTCTATATTACGTACACTAGACATATAAACTTATAATAAAAAAATATATCTAAAGCTGAAAATATCATTGCTCCTCTTACATTAAATTAATCTAAAGTTGCTGCAACAAAGCATGTGGCGTAAGATTTTTCATTAGAAAGATGTCATATAAATAACCAAAACATTCGCATAGGAACTTCTTTAACATTTAAATAAACATATCCGTATGCACTTATAAATATTTTAATCTTGACTAATAAAATTGTTTCTACTCTTCTTTTTGCAGATTTATCACGTAACCGTTTTTGTGAATTACCAGAAGAAATCACCACATTTTCATTTCTGGAAACGTTACTGTTGTATCACAATAGCATACGCAGCATTCCAGAGTCTGTTAAACACTTAACATCGCTTACGTATTTAGATTTACGTAGTAATCAGCTTTCGGTGCTGCCACGTGAAATATGCTTTCTACCACTACATGTGCTACTGGTATCGAACAATCGTTTGACTTCATTGCCGGATGAACTAGGACGTATGGAACGTTTGACTGATTTAGATGCATCATACAATCAGCTATCGGCACTGCCAGCACGGATTGGTGAATTATATTCATTACGTTCCTTTTCGCTACGCTGTAATCAGCTGATGTATTTGCCCAGAGGTGTGTTTTCTCTTTTATACTATTTAAATACGGATCAAAGTCATTTATATCTCATTGCTTTTTGCTTTCTTCTTCACATTTTGGTTTGGTGTATTGAAACATGGTTTTTGGTTATATAATAATTGCAGAATTGACATGTCTCACTTTGGTTTCATTGGATGTGAGTAACAATCGCATTGCTAGTCTACCTCTAGAAATTCGTCAAATGTTAACATTGGTCGAGTTTAATTTAGAAAATAATCCACTCACTTCACCGCCTGCAAGTGTAAGCACATATATTTGTTAAATATATTTTTATTTAATTCAACTATTCATATATCTTTATATATTGTTTTTGCTTAGCTTTGCGTTCGTGGTCTAGTGCATGTCTTTAAATTTCTGGATACTCAAGCGGCCAAAGAAGAGAAGGGATCACGTGCTGGTGGTAATTATGATGGATACACCACGTTGCGACGTGTACCCCGTCATAATTCTAGTGGAAATGTTTTGGAAATAAATCGAGTGCCACGTCATCAAGTTGATTCTGGTTATAGCACCTGTGATGGTATTGATAAGCGTTGGTCCCATGATCTTCCAAGTGGTATGTATTCTGCGAGGTGTTAGGTAGTGAGGTGTTAGCATGTTAGCATTGTATTTAGTGCTATGTTATATTTTTTTTTATCTTTCACATACATTTTATGAAACATAAAAGTGTATATTCACGAGCTCGGTAACAGAGTAAAAGTGTAACCGGTTAATCTAAGTTGTGAGCACACCTGGTAGTCTAAACAGCATAAAATGGCTTATTATAATATAAAACTTAATATAATATAATAATTTTTTAATGTTTAAAATTTAACATTATTTAAGAGGTTCCATTATGCTATATATTAGTTTTTAAAATTATTTTAAAATAACAATTTTTTAATAAGTTTTAAATAAATTAGATATTAGCTCCTAAATAAACTAAAATAAACTATATTCATTCTTGAACAACTAAAGACATTTAATGAGTTAATAAATTAATCAAAACTTGCATGAAAATACACTCTGAGTATAATTTTAATTCATAGCATAAATGTGCGAATATTTAATATTCATCAAAAACAAACTTTAAATACATAAATACATTTTCGGAGTGAACTTTCTTCTTATCTATAAGAAAGATGTCCACATCGAAAATATAATAAAAGTGCAACGTAAAGGCTTGAGTAACGTAGTAACGTTGCAACATTGCACTTTTAATACGTTACTCGATTACCGAGCCCGTTTCTCGAAATCGTGAATACTTCTAATATTTAAAAATTCTTATAATGCGACAAATTAGATATCGAAGGTCCTATAAAGTTTTTACAGTATGTCAAGAATAAGTTTACACATTGAAATAAAATTTATTTTTTTAATTTATGATCGCAAAAATATTGCTTTTTGTTTAAATACAAAGATTTTTGATAAACAATTTTTATTAATTATTATATTAGGAACATAAATATAATGAAAAGTTCAGTAGTTTGTTAAAAAAAAATGAAATATACAACAAAAACCAATCCTAAATTATTTTGTGACTGTCAAGAACCTTTTTACACAAATAATACAAAGTTGCTTAATATAAACTATTTAATAGAAACTTTGTCGTATAATATTTTAGGTACTTATTATGGTCCTTTGTAGTATCTTTGACATATTGCGGCTTTATTAAATTTTTTGATATTTTGAATGATATTTTTTTTATGTCTACATTCCTAATGTAATAATTATTAAAATTGTTTATAAAAAATCTTTATGGTTTGGATCCCTGATTGCAAATAAATTATTTTCTAACAAAATAAAATAATAAATAAATGAAAACAAAATAATAAATATTATTTATATATTATATATAGAACATAATAAACACAAGGTTATGTGTTTAACTACTATTAACTACTATTAAATGTGTACTATTAACTACTAACTATTTGTACGCGGAATTCTAGGCATTTTTTAATTTTCTCATTCTCAATTTTTAGCCAAAACCAAGAGTACTTTATCACCTGCACGGAAAACGCCTACAACGTCACCTTTATCGCTAAGCGCTGAATTATTAGATGTATCATCAACTTCCAGCACCAGTACAATTGTTGATGAATCTATAACTGTATCACTAAGTGCAGCTATGGTGAAATCCTTAAATGCTGAACTACATGGTGATACTTCACCCTTTAAACGACTTGAAGAGCAAAATGTACAACATTCACCTATAATCTTGCACCAGCATATAAATTATGCACATTCAAGTTCCAGTAATGGGTCATCGCCGGAGCAAGAAGAGTTGATGCTTAACCAACAGCAGAGCCAAAATACTCAAAATGCCAAATCAGATGAAAAGTCGAGCACATCTTTGGGTAATATACAAACGTACAGGTTAGTTGACTATTTGCAATTTCATGGCAATATATTTATATACATATATGCATGTACTAAATATATATAAAAAAATACAAATTTTTGTGTACGTAACAGGGAATATAAGGAAGCTTTAAAGCAACAACGAAATCAAGATATATCAAGGGTTTACAATGTAAAAGGACAAAAAACATTGTATGATATGAGTGAAGCAACGAATGCGCTTAACTCAAATAATGTGACACAGTCTGAGGAGTTGGATGTGCGTTGTAATGGGAGCGTACACAATACCCAGATAATGCCAAAGTCCATCATGAAAAATGGTACAAATAGTAATAATTGTACAAATATGACAAATGGCATAAACGGTACCTTAAACGGCATTGGAGATGACAGTCTTGTTATACCAAAGAAACCTATCCAAAAAGTAATACCATCGCGTAATACGGAAATAATGTCGTCGCAGGCGGCGAAATTAAACGATTTAGATAAATCATTTTCACATACAAATGGCGATTATATAGGATACGTAAAACCAAATAGTCCAATGAAAATACCAAATAGCAGCAATAATGTAGGTGGAAATGGCGGAGGCATATTAACAAATAATAACAAATTTAACGCAGTGGGTACCATTAAGTCACCAGTTAGCAGTACAACCAAATTGGGCACAACAAAAACGCATCGGTAAATATGAGTACTAAATGAAGTGCTCATTCATTATTTCAATTTTTGATACTTCTCTATGTATACATAATATTTAACTCAATTATTTGTAAATATATTGATTGCAGCACCGTAACATGGAATCATGATATACCGCCCGAAAAGTTGAGCTTTACAATGCGACGTGAATTCGATCGCCAAAGGGAAGAGACTGAATTAATGACACAATTACGTAGTGTAAGTATTTGAAAATATATTTTTTCTAAGTTTGATGTGCCATTAAAGGATATTATTTTTATTTAAGATTATTGAAACACGTCTTAAAATGACACTTCCGGAGGACATTGCCTCAGCTTTAACTGATGGTGTTATACTTTGCCATTTGGCAAATTATGTGCGTCCACGTTCAGTTGCAAGTATTCATGTGCCATCACCAGGAGTAGTGAGTTTATTTAATTGAAATAACTATTAATTTATTAAATACGTCTTGTTTATTCCTACAGTCAAAACTTACTATGGCCCGGTGCCGTAGGAATGTTGACAACTTTCTGGAAGCTTGTCGCAAGATAGGAGTTGACGAGGTGAGCGCATATATTTATTTAAAATTGTTACTAATATTAACTCCTGATTTAATTTCAATTAATAAATCAAATCTGTCCGTTACTAATACACTTTAACTATGGCTTTCCAATTGAAATGCTTTAGGTTGACTTTAGAATTTTGATTTTTTTCTTTAATAAAATTTGTGTTTTAATTGGCGAAGTATCCATTTGGTAAATCTTGCTAATATTTATAAATTTATTCTTGTTAAATAAAAAGAAATTTTTTATGTAAATATAGTTGAAATAGTTTATACTTTTAAAAAATTGATACTATCTTTGAAGCAATAAAAAAAAGAGGAAATAATATATATCTCAGCTTTTTGTTATTACTTACAAACAAAATTGGAAATTAGTTTATCATCGTACAAAGTATTATTTTGTAACGTTAATATATGTTAACATTAATTTACTCATTTGGGTGCTACACAATTTCTAAAGTTTATACTTCGTAATTTTTAATATATTTCTTGTAGTTTTTATATTTAATACATTGTATATGTAAATTTAATTTTAATTTAATATTTATTTCTTTGTAGTTGTCTTTTTAATATTTAATACACTTTTAATATACATACTGTATTGCTTTATAGAAGTTAATAAATTATTTTTAATTTGATAGTTTTAATTTTATATATAATATTTGTAATAACGAGCAGTAGCTAATTATATTTTTCGACTATTGTAAATTTTTTTAGCTTTATTAACCTGTTGTACAAATAAATTTGTTTAAAATATATAAAACGGAATAGTAAACCAAAATTCGATTAGAAATTATACTTTAGTACGGTTACGTTTTCTCATTATCCAATTTTTTCATTCAAATCATTGAATATTTGATTTAAATGTACCTCACCACATTAAATAAAATAATAAGTAAAGCTATCTATATTAAGACATGTGTATTTATTACGAATCTCTGGTTACTAATGACTTGGGGTTAGACTATGTGTGTTGATACGAACATTTATATCTATATATAATCTACGATTACCATTATTTCTAATGTAGGTTATTGTGAGATCCTTTTTAAACTATTTGGTTTTCCAGAGCAAGCGATCTAAGGGGTCAACTTTTCATATCCATCTCCCATCCTGGTGAAAAACAAACAGTTAGATAACAAGTAATTTCAACCTGCTTCCACTCAACAAGATGAGCTTGTTTAAAAAGATAGTATAACATCGCTGAATAAAATAGAATAAAATTTTTTTTGTCACATTCCTTATGATAATTGATCACATCAATAATTTGAAACAGTTCAAGAAATGACTTTTTGGTGTTCATTAAGCAGGCAAGATATCTGCTATTCAGTTTGATTTACATGTCATCACAAAATACATATGATTATAGTAGTTTATGTGATTTGGGAAACATATCTGTAATATATTACATTGGAAAAGTAAACTAAATGCAATTTTCATTTTTAAAATGATCTCATTTCTTCCTATTATTCTACATTTTACAATAATATATAAATAAGTAGTGCGTTTTATTTGCCACCTATTTAGAGAATATAATATTGCCATATTTTCAGCTAAACACATAGGCAAATACAATATGCTTGCTAAAGTTAAGATTTTTAAAGTTCTATGTACAATACAATAGACGAGAAATAGTAATTTAATAGATAGATATATATGTACAGTTATGTTTATTTTTACCAACTGAATTATTTTGTCTTCTTTTTGTCTAAATAAATTGTTCACAAAATCTCCACATTAAATGATTCGGAGTTGACTACTGTCATCTCATAAACCATTTGTATTATAAATGGCCAGATAAATGGTTTAAATGGTATATATTAAATTATACAATTTTGAAAATTTGTGTCAAGTTGTTGCTATGCTTTAAGCTTATGATGATAAACCACTCTATTTAAAGTTAACATGTTTTATAGAATTTGTGAATCGAATGCAGCAAATATATTTCAAAATAATTCTAATAATTTTTATATGTAAGATGAATTTTGCTTGGTAAATATGAATTTCATACATATATATATATGTGTCAGACTTATATTTTTTTTGTTCTTTGTATATAGCATTTGTTAATTAAAGTAATTGCTGAAGACAGTACTTAATTTGTAGAATTCGAAGCTATTAAATTTTTATTTTATATTTGTAGCTGTAAAACATTTTATAGGTACAAGTCTATCTGGTTTTCGATTAACTTTCATTTATTATTTTTACTTTTATTTTTTATTATTTGATGTTTTCTAAATTAAATTTTATTTTAAAATATTTAAAAAAAACAATAATAACCTGAAGCTTTTCAAATGTTTAGCCAAATTCATTCACGTGTTTTAAAAAAACTCCCTCTTCCAACTGTTCGTCGTTCTATACTTTCCCTCCTCATTGTATTCTTTTTGTTTTAAATGGTACTAAAATGCAAAAATCTGTTATTGGTGTTGGTTGCAGGAGTTGATTTGCTCCTGTGCAGATGTTGTGCCTATTTCGGAGAATGAACTTAACTTTTGCAATAGCAACAATAATAATGAAGAGAACAAACAACAAAATGAACAACAATCATTGCAAGTCGATAACGAAAACCGCAAAATATTGCCAAATCCTTCCGCTGTTTTAAAAACAGTTTCTGCCTTAATTGCTATGGATTCCAATCCGCATCATCAGAACATACGTAATTTACAACAACAGCAAGAACTGCAAATTAAATTGCAGCAGCAACAGCAACAGCAAAAACAAAAAGGAGTGCAACGTGAAAAAGTGCAACAACTAATGCAACAGACGCACCACCAAGGTTGTGTTGACTATGAAAGCCGGTACGAGTTTTTGCATGGAGAAGCCGATGACATTTATAATGCAGATACAAGACAATATCAACATCACCAGCAGGAGCAAGAGCAACAACACTTAACTGCAACCTGCACCAAAGAACAGATGCAGCAACAAGCTAAATTTTTTGCCAATATGGAATTGAAAAATTCTACTCTTAATTTGAATGTGAATTGTCAGTTTGAAAATTATTTGAACGGTACAAATCCAAATGCTAATGCTGCTGACTACGGCAACAATTATAATAATGTAAATAATTGGGTTGGAAATACACAAAAGTACAAAAGTGATAACAACGATAGTAGCGCTGATAATTCTGATAATGTTGTTGGGGTAGAGACACAACAACTATTGCAAGAGCAATCAGTACAAGGTATTGCAGCGGTGAGCAACTGTTTTCGTCACGCCAAATTGAAAACATTCCAAAAAATCAAATTAAATTTATTGACATCTCATGGTAATTCTAACAGTAACAACCTCAATCAGTGCAATGATAATAATAATCATTGTGCTGAGTTGCAAACTATTGTTGAAACAGATAATGATGGTGCAAACAGTACAGGTGTTTATCAATTGATAAATGAAAAACTCAAGACTGATAAACTTTCACCAATGAAATTAAATGATCTTAGCAAAAAAGATATGACATTGTTGTTAAAAACATCACCAACCACAACTACAACAACAACAACAACGACAACAGCTGTTGTAACACCACATTCTGTTAACAAATATAAGTTATTAGAGCTGCCTCAGATGAGAAAAGAGACGACTAACAATGAGATTAAAGGAAGTGTGCTAAAACGTATAGAATTCTTTGAACACTCAACATTCAATATAACAAATAGCACACCCAATGCAGATGTGTCAATACTTAAGCCTAAAGTGCCTAAAAATAATATATTTAGTATATATCGTGTTGCAGATGTTGTTGTTAATCCTGCTGCCAATGATGAACATAAACCAAACACAAAGGAAAATGAGAAATCAGAAATAAAGGCAGAATCATTGTTGCTGAAACACGATTCACATATTCTAACTATTTTGTTATCATGTGTTTTCATAATAACATTTCTATTGCTGGTATTCTTCCCATTGCCAGGATAGTGTTACAATATTTATATCAAATGCTGCTATTTCTAAATACAGGATAAAGGATATCACTGCTACTGCTACTGCTAAAAGCAAGCGAAAGCTTAAAGCTATGAATAAGATTATTTAATATTTTCTTTAGTCTTTAATCTTTAATTTTAGGACTTTATCTAAAAAAAATTTTGTTCAAATTTCCATTCTTCAAAAAATATTAATTTATATTATTTCTATATGTATAACTATATATGATAAATTATTACGATTATATTAAGATTATGTATACTCATTAACATTAAACATTTTTCATCCAATTCACTTTTACTTTAATTAACACAAACATAACCTAAAATTTGTAATTCTAATATTGAAAGTATTTGTATTTCTAAGCACATGTAACTAGAGGCTGCTTTTTATGTACTTAAGAAAAAAACAATTTTATTAAAAATTAATTTATAAAATTTTAAAATTGATGCTAAACTGAAATTTAAGAAAAAATCAAAGAATTTAAACTGTAACGAAAGCATTTATATATACAAATTATATATATATATATATATATTGTATTATATATACTATTTTTTTACTAATCCAAAGACTATAAAACTATGATTGAATTTTTATAAAATGGATTTTTTTTATATGTTTAATAATATTGAATGATCTGTTGTTGGAATTTTTTTTACTAAAAAATTATTATTAAATAAATTTTTTATTTCTGTATCGAAAATAACTAACAATTTAAAATACCATTTTACTTTATTAGAAATTGTTTCACATATGCACATATTTTATTATTTTCATTCTAATATTGTAATTCATTCAAATATACTAAGTTCTAATAATATTAATATTGTTCTCTAATATATAAAGCGTTTTATGTTATGTATTTTAAATTGATTGTCATTCATTTAATATGATAACTAATGTCTTCTGTATACTTAAATACATTTTTATTAATATGCAAGTAATAATGCAATTAGCATTATATTGTTTGATTACCTTATAAAAAATTATTACTTTCAATTATTATTCAAATATCATTAATTTATACCTGTGTGATGTGTGATGTTTCTGTTAATTGCACTCAATTCAAACACATAGTATTTTTCATATATAATTTTTTATTTCATAATAAACTTATTTTTATATGTGTATGATATTACACTTTTTAACACTTGTATTAATTTTTGTGTTATAACTATATTTATGTTTAACATTATCACTCTTATGTTATATGTGTTTTTTCTGTTATTATAATTGGTTGTTATATTGTTTCAAGTCTTATTATTATTATGAATTGTACATTTACGCTGTTGTTAATGCTAGGATTCACTTGGTTCCGGGTGGCAAGCATCACAGAATTGTTGCTTTGTTGAAGTGTACTCCATGTTCTATATCTCTATACATTACATAGATATATCTATATACATTACATTATAATACAGATATACCTATATCTTCTTCCACAAAGCTTTGATGACTTTTCTTATCATTGTACGTGTATGCGGTAACACATAATTCTGCATGATGCTTATTAACTATTCGGAGATTTATTATAATGTATATTAATATTTACATGTGTTAATTATTTAACAGCAACACATATATGTTTTTATATATATATTAATATTTTTAGGTACATATTTTTAAATTTATATTTCATCACATTACATAAGTTCACAATACAGCAATTACAGGTTTTTATATATTTATCTTTTCATTTTTATACAATTCTGTGCATAATATTTATAACAATATTATATTTCGATTTTTTTTCTTGGCCAATATTTTTTATTAACAATTGTTTTGTAATTAATATCATTAATTCTTTTAATATGATACTTTACACCTCCGTCTCATGTGAGATGCATCCTAAAAAAATTAGTGAAAAATAACAGCTCAGCAACAATCTTTTTTAGCTAGCATACTAATAAAAGATATATGTACAGGGACCGCAAATAACAGTTATTTCAAAAATTTCTAAGAAATAAATCAAGAACAAAAAGTTGTCTAAACTCATATATAAGTATATATGTTAGTTATCATTCTAAAAACTTTCATCCTTAATATTATGCATGTTTTATATATATATGAGCGTTTCAAAATAAAACTCAAAAAATAAGAATTATATTTACTTTATATTATATTCATCAAAAATAACTCTTCTTGCTTTTTTTTTTAAAACGCACAAAAAACTGTTATTTTTGCCTTAAAAATATAATATTAAGCAAATTTAATTATTATTTTTGAGCTTTATTTTAAAATGCGAATGATAACAGTTATAAGGTGACTGTTATTTTTTTAATGATAACTGCTACGGTCTCTGTATATATATATATATGCATATTTATATACAGTATTAAACAACTGTTGAATTAGGTATTCCTAATTCTTATAATTGTTGCAGTGTTTTGAAGGATTTGAAGCTCCGACTATTTGTCTACTGATATTTTTGGTTCTCTTTTCGATTCTTTTTGTTGATTTAAGAGCAACAGGAACTAATTCTATACATCCATATTAGCTTTTAAATAGAGTTTAACAGTAAGAATTTGTTTTTAAGACTTATATGGAAAGTTCTGTTTAGATGCCTTTATAGCTGATTGAATTTTAGAATTATTTATGACCATACCCCATGTGAAGCTTATGTCAATATCTTTGCTGGTACGATTCCAATTTCCTGATTTCTAATTATTGTTTTTAATTTAGCTAGGTATTTGTTCCATTTAAAGCGAAATTTGATTAATAATACGGTATTGATGCTGATAGGTAAGATAGTTATTGACTGCTTGAAGTAAGATATGCAATGAGACTTCCTCTATCGTAAATTAACTTTTGTCGTGTTTGCGGCTTCACTGAGGGAAAAGAAACTGTTTCATTGCATGTGTCAGTATCCATTAAAAGATTTAATATCTTTGGAGCCCTTTTCTCCACCTGACAGAGCTATCATTCTTTAACATACGGGATAGAGTCAAGTTTATAAACTTGTAAAGTTGGTTCACTTATATTTTGCTTCTTGTTTAACTAAAATTAAATTCACAGATGTTTTTAAAATTGCTCTAAAATGCTATATATACCGCATCTAGGTTGCGATCATGGCTCAAACTGACATAATATTAAATGTATAAAATTTTGACAAAATTATAAAACTGATTTTTTTGCTGTAGCTAAAAGTATATATTATTTATGCCTATTAAATAAAGTATTTTTACAAAATTGGACCGAAATGTTTTGTGCCATTAAGTAGACGCAGTTTAATATTAGGTCGGTTTCTAGTTTTTATAATATCAAGAATAATCATACATCCACGTGAGAAATGATATGACTTTAGTTTTGTAATTTTATTAATATTAATATTAATTTTTTAATATTTTATTAGTTTTCACAAATGTTTTTTATTTATATTCATTATTTTACATTTAGATAATTTATATAAATAAATAAATTTTGACATTTTTTCTTTTCGCAAAGTAATTTGTTTTCCTTTAATTTTCATAATTAAATATATAATTAATAGGTATAACAAATTACTAAACTTTTTTGTTCTCATATAGTTAAATGAATTACCATATATTTTTAATTTATTTAACATTAATTCAAGTGTAAACTTGTATACTTTTTTATTTATGAAATTTACGACATTTACGACGTTTACGACTTTGTTTAGTTATTAATTTTTTTGTTAGATTTATTTATACATAATAACTTTATAACAACGAACTAATCATTGAATTTAGTGTAATTAAAAATTATTGAATGCTTTTGATTATTATATGCCTACAAAATAAGAGTAATATTTTAATTAAATTGTGTATTTACATAATGTACCAGTGTAACAATTGTACTACTAAATACTTATTATTTATATATAAAATATCTGTATTCATGCCTAATTGATATATATTTTCTTATAATTGAACTATTACGATAAGCGATAATTAGTTATTAGTTATTAGTAAGCAGTAAGCAGTAAACAAAGCTGCAGAGCAACAAATTATATACAATTAAAAATTAAGTTCAAAAGTACTAAGTAAACGTATGTAACCAGAATTCCTTCGAGAGCAACGCCTCAAAACGATGTCTAATTGCCTCGGTTTGAGTGATTGCTAATTAAGTGATTAAATTAGTTAGTAGCTGTAATGGAGTTTACGTCAATTTACATTTGTGAAAATTGAAAAAATTATTTAATTCTTATAATTGAGTTTAATGTAATATTTTATGTCATAATTTTAATTGTAAACCTTAGGTTTACACGATAGTGCTATAATAACGTCAGTTTCCTTTTTTTTTGTTTTGTGTAATTTAAGTTAACAATAGTTAATTAGATTATGCATTGGTAATAAAGTGCATTAAAAATGCGAATTAGAAACTGAAGAATTGTGTTAAATGTCCGTATAAACACTAACTACTTTAATTGTAAATTGTAATTGCCTTATGGTTGGACATATATTTTCGCTTGAATTTTATATTTTAAAAACAAATTTCATATTAGTTCATGATTTAATAGTACCGGTAATAAAAACCCTCACTCGTTAAATGAGTAATGATATATAAGTGTTTAGATAATGCGTGTTTAAATAATAAAGAAGTTGGATATGTGTAGGCAGACTTCCTTCCATTTCCTGACTTTCTTTCATATTTTTTAAAAAAATAAAAAAAAGAAGTGTGGGTTTTAAAAGCACTTTTCTTACAGCTTATAAATGACTATTCAATGCTGTGTTTTATGTTCTGTAAACATGTTCATACATATACATAACAGTCATCCAGAAATTTTGGGGATCTTGAAATTACTGTACATTAATGGACACTGTTTGTTCTTCTACGTTTGGAATACATTTGGAACTGAACACGCATGAGTTTAAGTATATGAATAATATACATTGCATTAGGCCAAAGTGAAATAGATTTAGAAATTGTTTATATGTTCTTTAAAAAAATTTTCTATTTGCTATATTGTTAAAGTAAAAGCTGTATTTTCACGATTACCTTAGTTTCGTTACAGTCACATCCTATCTACAAATAAAAAATATTGATGTTCAATTCTTATTCCTATTCTTATTCATCAGTGCAGTGCGTATTGCACATAATCCATTGTCTATTGTCCTTATGATAAAATCACTGTGTATATATGAAGACCTAACAAGAGTTAAACTGCACATTTTCA